AGTGCACTGCAAACCAATACATGTTATAAAGCCAAACAGCTAAAGCAATAAACGACTGAAGTAAAAAGCTGTTTTCCAATAAAGAGATTTATTTCAACACACTGAAGAGAGGAGAGCTAGTGTCCTAGCACCAGCACTAGAGAACATCTGTACAAAATGCAGTGTTTAATGGTCTCTGAAAAGCACTGAGAGAGGTTTTGAAGCAATGTTTTGCATAGTTTTTTATTTACTTTCCAGCTTTTCTAATTTGCTATTCTTGTCAGTCTTGTACTTTGAATTTCAGGCTTTTCTCACAACCTATAAATATACCTCCTAATACAAAGCAAGACCATCAGGTAACCATATAACATCAGAAGCTGCAACTGGAATTAAAAAAAAAAAAACCAACAACACAAAAGTAGGAAAAGGCAATGTTATAACATTAGTTCTTACAGCATTAGACACATGAAATTAGAAACATCGGCCTGTATTCAATGTTGTCTCAAACACAAAACAGAAAAGGCAGCTTACTTCCATTTTAGCATGTTTTTGTTCAACTGAATTCACAACTAAAGTTTTGTCCATCATACATTGCAGGGCAAAGCCTCTACTCAGAATCAGTGAGACTGTAACTACACAAGACCTGCAGGTTTATGTTGCTTGTTTCTTCTCATTGTATTGACTGTACTGGCTAAGGCCTTACACTTCCCTAACAATTAATTAAAATATTTCTGCTACTATTATGAACAACCAGATTATCTTGTACCTTGCCTTTTCAAAAGGCATTGAAAAAGACGCTCTGGTTGTTATCCAAAACTTCCCTATGCTGAATTTCCACACTCAATTTTTTCATTACTCTGAAGCTCAGCACATCTATTCTCATTCTTCCTGCTCTCTCCGAAGTGTTACTGCCTGAGATACCATAAATGAAACATTTGGTATCCATAAGAAGTTTATGGTACCTGATTCAGATACACAAATATGTCAAGTTTTTCATGAGTATCAGAGCAAAACTTTAAATGAACTTGCTTTTTCCAGGTTCTCCACAGGAAAAGGTGAGCAGGTAAAGGTTTTGTTCAGGAAAAAAAAAAAAAAAAAGAAGAAAAATATGGGAGAGCAGATACCAAAGAACTTTCCCTGAAGGCAATATAAATCCATGTGTAAAGCAAACCCCATGCATACAAGGTCATGCAGACACATGACAGAGAGAACATACAGGACAAACTGTGCGCACTGGGGTTTACTGAGGGAAGATTGCTCATGAGCTCCTGTCAACCCACGTACAGCACGATGCATGCAGCAGTAATTCTGTCATTTATATTCAAGTGACACAGTTTACATTTCCTCACTGGTGCAGAGAATAAACATTCACTACATTCACTTGCAACACCTGTGAAATTGAAGGTATTTTACAAGCTTGTAGGTAGATGAAGCCAATCAAATTAATCATTCTGAACCATTACATCCCCTTCAGAACAGTTTTGCTCTATCGATTCATGGTTCTGACTGGTATCATTTACTGTGTTTCACAGAAGGATTAGCTGACATAAGCAGGATTGTGTAACTTGCTCAGGTCACCTGTCAGCTCATTGACAAGACAAGCATTAAGCTCACTGTCTCCTTGAACTCTTGGTTTTTCAACAGAACAGCTTTGGGCAGGAAGCAGAGGATGCCTTATCCAATAAGGAGGAATTCAGGCAGGGTACTGCAAGGCTGTACATGAAGATATGGCCAGTGGGGAAGACTTAACAACCTTACCCTTTGAAAAATCAGCGCTGTATATTAAATCACCAAAAGTTGGCATTACTTCCTGGAGTCCCAAACCTACAGATAGCAGCATCGGGTAGGTCCTTCCTTCTCCTTCACACAACTACCATTTATTTAAGAAATATAGTCTTGCATCAGTTATTTATTAACTACATTTTAATGAGTGTTTTTCCCATGGACTGTGCTGCACCAAATGCTTTTTTTCAAGGGCTTTCAGTTTATTATTTGTACTGTGAAAAGATCAGAGGCCATGAGCCAGAGACTGATTGTTAGAATCCACTGAACACACATGCAAATTCAGTCTTTTCTGTGTAAGGTAAAAGGGACATAATAGATAAATATTAATTCCAGGTAAATAAGAGGCTTTAGATACTAGATTTATATTGTAAATGTGAAGTTAAAATAACTATGGTACCAAATAAGAATACATTAACATCATTTTCTCATATAAAGATGCAGAGCGCTTGCTGCTGCATTTTAGAGCAACAGTACCATATGGGAGAATTTAGTTCAGTCTTCTCAAGACAACTGAAACTGCTCTCTGCAGTAAGGTGTAGGTGTCTGCAAATTACACAGCTTCTTGAGTCAGCGCTGATCTAGATTGCTCCATTCATAATTAGACTTTTGATTGGTACCTATCCAGATCATCTCATTCATAGTATGACTTACAAGCAAGGATGGAGACAGACAGGAAAGGCAGCAATTGAGGGAATACCAGGAGAACTGAGTCTCATGTCAGAAGTATTTCCTATGCCTGCTCTTGTCAGAAATTTCTTAGACATTTTGCTTTGCAAACCCAATTCATTGAGCAGTGAACTTGTCCTCCTTGAGGATCTCTCCAGCCCAGCTTAAAATCAGTTGCATAATATATGTGCATTGTATCTGGATACCAGCAAAACTAAAAATCTGACTGTTGTTTTCTGTTTTAACTTATTCTTGAAGACTTTGGAGCAAGCACATCGATGGTGCAAAGCACAAACTTTTATGGATCTGTTATTTTCTTAACTCCATGTTACCTTTTAAGCTGAGTATAAAGCACGTACATTTAAGGGAAGATAACTTTAAAGTAAGAGCATTGTGAAAAGGAAAATTCAAATGACTCTTTCTGGCTTCTCCAAATGCTAGTGCATACTGTCATACCAAAGCTATTTCTTTCTTCCCCATATGCATCATAAATGGAAACAATGAAAAGTTACCAGAACTGATCCTGTAAGATGCTAAACATGCGGGAGATGAAGGTAACCAAGAGCAGGTTTCATATGACATAAACTGAAACTACAGACTATGTCAACTACTTGTAGTCTAGTTGCATATTTTAAAGACCAACAGAGGAATGTTTTATGTTTCACAGAATATATATATATATATATACTTAAACATTTTTTTATCTGGATAATATTGAATAGGGTTTTGTGAGGATTTTTTTTGGTCTAAACCTCCCCTCTACTCTACTTGGCACTACAGGTGAAATTCTGTATGCTATATGGACTTACTTAATGTATTATCAGACACAAATCAACAGTTACATGATATTCCTATTTCCAATGAAGACAAGCAGAGCTATAAACTTACAGAAAATCACCTCCTTTTCCTGAGTTTCAAATTAAAAAAATTGCTATTATATTAGTTGGCAGTTAGAGGGTAGCATAGTGAGATAAACCTCCCAAATTTTCGCTTGTGAACCATTAATTTCAACTTGACTTAGTACTAAAAAAAACCCAACAACAATAAAAAAAAAAGGAAAACAGGAGGGAGAGGATGCAATCAGCCTTATCTCTAACCAATTTAAAAGCACTGGACACCTGTTGAGCTGTTCAGGAAAACTAAGGAAACAAAACAAAGCAAAGCAACAATTCTTGAACAAGAGGTTGACACTGTAGATGGCTTTGCAGAAGAACTGAAACACTTCCAGAAAAACTTTTGCTCTTACCCACAGTCTTTGCTAGAGCTTTGCTGTTCAAAATTATAAACATGCCTTCACCTGATTTGTGTCCCCGACAAAGGAGCTGAAATTGGTGATCAACAACCTAAAATTATATGTTAGAAAGGAGCACAAGTAAAACTTCTAGCTCTTTTCCTACAAAGGAGGAAAATAAACAGTTTAAAAACAAACAGACATAGGCTCAGTGTACTGAGAGAGGTAATATGTGAAGAGAGGTATGGTCTACACACATAATTACCTTTATAAATTGAGGTCATTCAAGATTTGGGAAAGAAGAAAAAAGAAAAGAAAAAGAAAAAAGAAAAATAAAAAGAGGCACAAACTAAGACTAAAATACATGCAAATAATTCATCCTGCTTTCCACATATGGATCTGCTATAAAACTAACACTTTCTGAAAAACAAAGTAAGAAACCTAGGTTTAAATAGACATAAACTGGAAAACACTGTGCCCCAATATACAAGAGTTCCATCCCAATGAAAACTGTACTGGAATTAACTTTAGGAGAGAATAGGCAAGAGTAGACAACCTGAAATGTTGATGTACTTAGCCCATCTAAATTGAATGGCAATGATTCTTTCAAGTCAATTTATCCTCAGTAGCAGGTGTCAAACACAGCTATGAAAGAAACTAGAAAACACAGGGGTAGCTGTGAGGAAACATACAAGAGGAAACATGCAGTGCTCTTTCTGAGCAGCTTTGAAATACCTTCATGAAAAAACACATCCAATTTACTTCTCAGTGAGTTGTTACCTGTAACTAGCATTGCCAGGTTCACAAATATTTTTAAAGTAACAAAATAAACCATGAAGTTTAAAGACATTTTGCAATAGCACTGTAATGAAAAGAGAAAGGTATTGTTATAAAACCCCCTTCATATGCAAACTAGAGAAAAGGAAACTCACAGAAAGAGCAAATCCTGTTTACACTAGACATATGACTAGAATTGCTTATGAGGGGGTCTAAATGCAGCCTTCTGACAAGGTCTGTCTGAGGAAACCTCTTCCTGTGAACAAGCCTCCACCATGAGCCCCATTTTGCAATCACGAAACAAAACAAACAAGGAAACCCAAACTCGACTTCAGTTGTGAGCATTTTGCTGCGTCTGGAAAGCAGCAGACCAAAGGAGACAAACTCCTCGCAAAAGCAGCAGCAACTGCAATCTAAAATACTTCCAGAATTATATAACAACAACTTGGATAAAACCCACAAAAATAAAGTCGCTTCTTGAAAGGAAGGGTTTTTTCTTGTCATTCTAGGCTATATGTTCCCGGTCAGCCACTCAAGTCTAAGGCACGGAGCTGTCTCTTACCTGAGCTGATCATACTGTGCATTCTTTGCTGAGCCAAGAGCTGTTCACGTCCAGAAACCCCATCTGAGGAAAAACACGATTCACTCTCGTAAATTGTCTGCAGCATATTCCAACTGGTCTGCACTTCAGCTACACAAGAGATTCATCACTGCACTTGCACATAGGCTTCGGGCACGACCCTCTGCAGTCCTACCTCCTTCAGCGAGGGTCGTGAGATAATACGCTTCAGCAATTAGCAGTGTTTAAGCATTTGCACAAGTATCTATGAGGAGAAGGAAAAGCCCAAATCCACCGTCGGCAGCCCCCGCCCGCAGGAAGGGAGCGGTGAGCGTGCGGGGGGCTGAGCGCTGCCGAGTTTGAGCAGTTGCGTTCGGGCAGCCAGCGGCAGGTGGAAGAAGAAATGAAGAAATATCTCTGCGCTTTGGGCTTCCTGGCAGGGCGGGGAGGGGGGGGAAACTGCCTCTAACAAACCATCAAACCGAATAAGCCACCTTTCCAGGGACCCGGAGACGCGGAGGGTTTAACCGAGCTGACCCCAGCCTAGCCCCGCGTTGCCGTGCCCGCGCCCCTCTCCGCTCCCGGCCGGCTGTCCCTCGGCCAGGCGGCTGGGCGAAGTTGGCGGGAGCAGCAGCGATAACTCATTTGCATTTGAATTGACACCCTCGTGGCCCAGCGGCGGCAGAAATAGAACAATGGCCGGCCTGAGCCAAAAATAGGTCAAGCATGGCCGGGTGATTGGAGCCTGCATTAATGCGTTTAAAAATACCACAGCAAACACAGCTGTCCAGTCTCCGTCTTTCAAACTGCCGCCCGTCCTCTGCGCGCCGCCCGGCCCCGGACTCAATTAACCCCTTCCCCCTTCCCAGCCCGTGTCAGTGGGGATACGCCAGGGAAGGGGCAGGGGAGGCAGGAGTGGGACAGGGACGGTCCTCGCCCGGGACTTGCGCCCCTCTCCCTCCTCACCCTCCCCCGGGGAGTGTTTGGTGAAAAGAGAGCAAAACGCCACGGCCTCTGCCCGTATCGGTCCTAAAATATCGCTGGGAGGTTTTGCTGGCGATGTGGTTTCTGCCTCGCCCACGCGCAGCCATCCTGCTGTTCTATTTTTGCTGCCCGTTTCTCTGGCTACGCCACAGTTGGCTTTGGCAGGGGAGGGAGCCAGGCGGCCGCCAGCTCCCGGCAGGACCCGCAGCCGCCGCCGGAGAGGCGATTCTGCAGCTAATCGGGCCGGGGGGAGCAGGAGGCGGGGGCAGAGGTCCGTGCGGACCGGGTTTTGTACGTGAGGCTATAAGCAGCCTTTCCGTATTTAGCATGCTTCATGTAATTCTTATAGTAAGTCACCGGTTGTGGCACAGCATGTTAGACACGCTCACCGACTATGCACTATTTGGTTGACTTGCTAAAATTTGGAGAGGCTGAGTAGTTCGCACTTATTTTTAGAAGCATTAGGCAATTTACACAGCGTCTTTTTCAGTTCTTCAAGATGATGTGGTTTCAGAAGAGCAGCTTTTGACAGCGTATCAGACAACAGCACCATGCTCCTCTGTGGTTTGACAAGTTTCACACATGTGAAGCCCGTTTTTCATACTGGTATTTCAAAAGTAGCATCTCATTTGATCATTAATATACCTATACACAGATAACTTTCATTTCAGTGTTACAGACAGTACTTTACTTCTCAGAGTCCTACTCTGCCTTACAACACTTTTTACACAGTGACCAAAGCCTATTGCTACCTATTGCTACAGCAGCTTGACTACTCTCTTACCAAAATTATAAGTCTGCTCCCATGTTCCTGCTCTACAGGAGCAACAGTGGCCACTGGGATGTGATTCCTCACCATAATCAAGAAACCAGCACAGAAGCTGTGTTGGAGCTTTCTAGAAATCCACAGAATTCTCAACTATCAACATAATATTTTGCTCCTGAAGACACAAGAATTCTCCCAGTATCTGGGGCTCTCTTATGCCTTTTGGTGAAGAATCTTCTGTATGCTTACATGGCAGATCAAAGCTAAGGGCAGTACATTTTTTAATACACTTCTCACAACTGTGTTACCGAATAAAAGATTCCCAATGACAAAGTACTGTGACACTCCTGCGGTGTTTGGCTACTTGATGGCACCTAGGAAGTCTGTGGCTCAAGTCTTCCCATGAACCCAAACCTTTTCTTCTTCCATGTGCCAAATCACCTGGTCCTGAGACTTAACCTGAGAATTAAGTCCTGCCCCCGGGACAGGGACAGACCGCAGCAGCTGGCAGCAGCTGGGGTTTTCCCTGCAGAATCCTCAAGTTAGTACCTATCACTTCTTGCTACCCTGCTGTCCTTGGCAGCTCTCTTCCCTACTGAGGAAGCATGAAGCCCTGCAGATGGCATTGCACCCAGCTCTGCAAAGGTCCATGAGCAGGGGCAGGGGCACTGGCAGCACAGTGGCAGGTAGGGTGTTACAGTGCAAGATTACAGGTGAACACAACACTTACCATTGCATAATTAGTTCCTGACAGTTTGGTATCATAAACATTTTCTCTGGAAAACAAAACTACCCCAATGTTTTGTGGGAAATATGTGGCCTTTCCACAGTACAGAGCAGTTTAACACAGTGCAAGAGGCAGAAGCAGAAATCTCCTCTAATGAAAAAAAAGCTTTTTATAGACTGAAGTAAATAGAAAAAGTGGAATTGCTTGTGCCCTTCAGCCAAACAGAACATGACGCTGTTTGGTGATTCAGCACCTCAAAATAATCAAGTTTCATATTACAGGGAAACACGGGAGGAATAAGTTAAAAACAGGTCAGAACATGGAAAACTGTGGAGTGTGGGATCTGGTATTAGGTACCCATATGTGTTTATAACTTCTTATATATGCAGCTGCGTTTTAAAAGATAGTGTTCACAGCTCTAAATGACTTAAAATACTTCAGTAACTAAAAGCAAACTGTATTCAAGAGCAGAAAATGTACATTTAGATATTTAGCTGCAAGTGTTCTTAATCGTGACGTATATATTTTAAACTGACAGACACATAAACTGTCTTATGCTCGCTAATTCACAGATCATAATAACTACAGCATTATGCTTTACATTTTAGATGATACATAAAAACTATATAAAAATATTTTACTTATGAAATCAGTCACCACAAAGGTAGGGTTTTTACAACCTGAATTCTTCCGACTTGCTTTGACATAGTATAAGCCTACATTGGTATGTCCTTAGGTTTAAAACACACGTGTAAATCCATTTCTTTTGTACATAATATTTAAGCACATGCTCAAATTCTACTGATTGCAATAGAATTTAAACACATAGTTAAACACTTTGCTGAGTCAGCCCAGACTTTAACTGCACAATCACGTGAATTTAAAGAGCTCCTTAAGAGTCCCACAGGGGAAGGATAAAGGGTTCATGCCTGAAGAAAATCTGGGTTTTATTTTTAAAGCTATGGATGTTATAAGGTGACATTTTCATACAGGAACATAAGGGGATTTTTCTGTTTTTTCAAATGCATTTCCTAAACTTGGAGAAGTTTAATGACACTGGCAGTAAAGGTAAACTGCTGAAATGATTGAGTGCTGCTGAGGTGACTCTAAATGCAATCAGCCACTTTATAGAAAACTTAAGGCATGTTAGTAGCACTCTGATCTCATTATAGCATTTTCACAATGTGTTTCTCTTATTTTCCCTCTGAGTTGTTAAAAACAAATAAATATAAGGAAATTAAATCTGGAAACCACATTACTGCAACATTAAGACTAAGAAATGAAGCAGTCCAATTTGAAAGAGCTAGGATTTCTACTGCGTTATTAACTCTGCAACAGTATAATTAAGTAATACTTTTGCCTTTTTTCTAAATTTTTATTTTCCTTTCAAAGTACAAACAGTAAATTACTGATTGTTTTTACCATACCTCATTTCTCACATGTTATTCTGGAGCATTGCCCTCATTGATATTAATAATTCAGTTTCAACTTTTGCAGTTTTCTTAATTGTAAATGAATATTTGCATAGGTTATTTTATCATATTGCTCAATTGTATCACATAAATATTGAACACATTAAAAAAAGAGATTTTCTCTAGCTTCTAGTCATATGCTTAAATGAGGACATTGCAGTCTTACAGGTGTCCCATTCAACCTTTTTTCAGCCTGCTTTTCATTTGGCAAGTGAAAAGGCAGGGAGTAATAACATGCATCAATGTCAAACAATTCATAAACAAGTGGGAGCTAAATTAAGGTTGCATGAGTACAATTAAATTTGGCCTATTTCAGTACTGAAGGTTTGAGTTCTAATCTTTGCAGCCTAAAGACTTCCTAACTATTTTTGTGTATCCAATCACTGGGATTAAAAAAAAAAAAGGAAGAAAAAAATTAACTATTGCACAGAACAGATGTTTCTGAAGCCACAGTTCATTAGATACCATTAGTACCACGTGAAACCCAAACATCCAGCATAAATTACTACAGCTTATGCTAGAGGATTAACCATGTTAACGAATAGCAAAAGACTATTACCACAGAGAAGCAGATGGTTTGGGAGCAGCAAGAAATCAAGGGAGATGCTGTAATGGCCTGGTCCTGCTCCCTCTTGGAACTAAGGGACCATATTCCAAGTGCCTGGAGGAGTTAAAATGGATTGCTTAATCCATGTGCTTTGGGTAGAAATACAAAGTACAGGAATGTTTCCAACCAATTCTCTATGTAGCAAGCCTTGGCATTGCCTGTGCAGGAATACATGGTGCTTTTCTTTGCAGGGCTGGGAAACCACGTGATAGACATTTTTCAAGTGAGGAGAAAACTGCAATTCTAGTGTTTTAGCTCAATTCAAGCTTCAAAGGAATTTTCTGGGACAAAGAAAGGCATATCTGTAGCTTTAGGGGATTTTGTGACAAACAATGGGAGAGTAAAACTTCGAAAAGTTCTGAGGATAAGAAGTGCTATGTAAGATAAATGTATGGCTTTCTTATCATCTCTTGTATAAGAATACAAAGAGTCTTGCATCTTTCTCATGCAAATTAGCTCAGGGGTTTTGTAACTAGTTGATGACATCACTTCTTTCTCCTCTTAAAGTACAATTTTTTGTTCACATATATAAAGAAATTTACTAGAAATTAAGTCTTAGACTCAGGACACCTCAACAGCACATAGCTGATTATAAGCACAAGGCTTGAGTTAAGCATATGCTTAATGGCTTCATAAATTAAACCCTTCTGAATCACAAAGCTCAAGTAATAAAAAGACCATTTTACACTAATATAGAGCTATGTAGTAAATAAATATTTAAGTTAGGGAAAACATACAAAATTAATTTATTCTGTTGACAAAGTTGTTTATCAGGTTGGAACTAAAATCTCCATGTTTTGTGGCAAGACTGAGGTAAATTGCACATAAACAACACAAGGCAAAGCAACATCAGATAAATGACAAATAAATGCCTCAGACCAGCAAAGCACTTTGTCCCTTTTATGCCATTAATGAGTTTAGAGAAGATATGAGCAATATGAGATTTCCTGCCTCTTCACGGCTATGCCCAGCTTCCTTAGAGAGACACTAGAGCCGTGCCTGCTGCTCCTGGCTCCACCAGGCACACCTGGGTGCACATGCACTAAGGAACCTTGGAGCTCATCACCTGGGACAGCTGCCAATATGTTCAGCATCCTCCAGGCGTTTCAAGCTTGTTGCACACCTGATGAGCAGATAATCTGTGCCTCCATGCAGGGTTTTGGACTGCATGGGTAATCATGGGTAGTCTGGCAGGTCAGATCACCTGGTCCCTGTTCCTGGACAATAGGCTACTAAATCCCTATTGCTGGAAAACCAATAGGAGCACCATCTCTAGCTTGTAATATATGCCCGGGTTTGAGTGATTTCTTTTTTTTGGATTTAAGACAAGAAATATAGGCCATGCATGCTGCCTGGAGACTTGTGGAAACCAATGGCTATGCAAAGGATTTGGAATCATAGCAGAAGCCAGCCAGCCAAATACAAACTCCTAGGATTACACCAGGACAAAAAAGGCTAATAAAATACTTGGAAATATAACAAGTTTGTACTGAATAACAGCAGTAAGATGATATACATATCACAGAATATCTTGGGGTACTGTAACTTCTCCCAGCATAAATACTTGAAAAAGAATGCTGAAAAACTGAGGATGGCAAGGCATGCCACATGCATAAAATAGGTTTGGAAAACCTATGAAAACTGGAAACCTAAAGACCTGTGATACTAAATTTATTGATGAAGCTCAGG